GTTTGTGAAGGCTATGTTAAATGTTTTATTAATTTTAGGAGCTGAGAAGAGTGTCTGTCTGGTATTTGTCCTTCTGTGCATAGCACATCATATTAGATATTGGCCGTTTCTCAAAACCAAGAATGCAAAGAACGGACTTGTGTTCTTGGGAAGAAAGCTCTTGCTAGCTGTTCTTGGAAGAACGAACTCACGAGGTGACGAGCACACAGAACGCTGCTGGGAGTTTGAGACGATGTGTTCTTGCTGGTATTGCGCAATAGTAGGCTACCCCCGCACAGACGCCATCTGCAGTGCCCAAACATAACGAGAATTATTATACAGCCAGGCTTTATCGCCCAAGCCTAAGGGATTACTCTACATAGTCTACACTACAATGTAATGTAAATTCACAACAATAAAGCAACACCCGTCTTATTTTAATTCTGCTTCTGTTGTTTGTTTGTGTACATCACTAGCCAACGGCGGGAAAAAACGCCGGTAATATTCGGTAATATTCAGGTAACGTTTGACCTGCCTCTCTCTGCTTCCCGCTCCTTCTGCGAATGCCGAAATGAATTATGGGATATTTCTACCGTCAAGTTCACACAAGTTACCAACCGATGCATCCTCGGTAAAATGGGAGTGTCAAGAACACATCCGGGATTTTTAACCGTTCTTGCCTAAATGCAAACTTGTGTATTGGGAGAGTACTTGGGCCGCGACTGATGACGTTTTACAAGTCCACAAGAACACAAGTAAAGATAAGAAGGCATATTGAGAAACGGCATTAATACACGATGGGCTCTATGCACAGCTGCACTACTTCCTGAACTTCAGCCAGCTCCTTGTTTCCTGTCTGCCATTATTGGACAGTTTGATTAATTCAGGTGTGCTTGACCTCAGTAGTCACGGCAACAATAATCAGACACACCTGAATTAATCAAGTTTGTCCAATAATGGCACAAAGGAAACAAGAAGCTAGCTGAAGTTCAGGAAGTAGTGCAGCTGTGCATAGAGCCCATTGTGGCAAAATGTAAGAAATGACAGGAAAAACTAAGCGCTCATATAGTTACAATAAGCTTTGTAACCTGTAAGTTGGTTAAAACGGATGCAGCCGTTAATGACTGACAAAACACACATCTCAGATATTCATTGGTGAAAAAAACTAAATTTGAGCTTGATTTGGGGAAAATGTCAATAATATAATGACAATAATAGAATGACACACGGATGTGCCATAATACTAACTTTGATGACAGTGTTTAATTATTTAAAAAGATACAGGCCTACCTTTTTTTCCTGAATAGTAGCAGTCCTACACTACCTGCAATTTTCACTGGTTTCAAAACACGCACGACAATATTACCTGCCATTTTATTAATACTTTAACGGTTGGTGACATATCCTTGGCAAACTCCTGAAATCCAAAAGCTAATGCTAGCGACTCGGACTTGCCTATGATAACTTGACAGCTGAGCACGGACATTTCCCTCAGCGACTCATTTATAGGCCGTAGCATTTAAATTCATGATTAGTTGACTGCCAAATTAAAATATTAAATAGAATGATCAAATAATGTTGTTACAGGTTAATAGTTGTTGCAAGTGTTTAAGTGTGTTGTGTTCTGTGTGTATGGTTGGGGTTTTTTTTCTTCCCTAAATGTATCTCTATTCTCATCTCTGTATGATATGGGTTGTTTATTGATTGAAAATAAAAAAAAAATCATAATCTCAAAAAAATTGTTGTTTCAAATAAGTGTTTTTGTTCAGAACCATCAAACAAATTTTTATTTGATGTTTTAATTTTCATTTAAACACTTGCCAATGACAGAACATTAAGATTTTAAGATATACACTTTTAGTTGCAGCTGAACAAAAACTTGTATAACAAAAACAGAAGAAAAGAAAAAAAAGATTAAAGAATTAAGTAAATTATAAAAAAAAATGTCTTTGAATAAAATAAATTTTATTTTACTACATTAAAAAGAAATCTGAAAATGTTGGTTGGTTTGGTAATTTATCTTTATAAAAAAAAGTCTATGCAGTTTATAATATATTAAAATTATTTATTTTCCATGATAATCCCAAATGGTTCCTGTTTTAATTAGGAATCCACATTACCAACAAGAGTAATTCCTGCTCAGTGCAAAACTACTCGCTTCTCCGTCTAGGTTTCAGAAAACCTGCTCTAAAAACAATCAATTAAATTCTCACCCAGTCTACGTTTTACATCAATTTACCCCGCATTCATTCTTACAGTCTCTTTGAAACCTTTTACTTTAGCAAACCAAATCAATCCCTCTTGTCTCTTACCTCTCAGGACACAGTGCTGTTTGTATTTCTCCCTCACTTCCTCCAGTTCAGTGTATTTCTCCACCAGTCGCCCTCTCTCTTTTTCGAGACGGGGCTTCATGTCCAGGTTTTGCTCGGCCAGACTGCGGTTGGCAGCCAGAGCCATTTCCCTCTCCAGCTGAATGTTCTGAATCTGAAAGAGAAGATAGTGACATAACAAAAACTACAATGTTACAGGCATTATGAAGTCCACAAGGACAATATATATTCAGCAGGACTGTCAAGACTGGGACGTTCACTTAATGATGGCTGTTGGTGCGAAGGAGACAAGTGGTCATTTCTTTATTAAGTTGTGGTGAGATTACCGAGATGAGCGGATATGAAACAATTCAATGTGATGTTTTATGCTGCATTCACGTGCTATCTGAAATGTCCTACTTCCCACTTTTGATAAGCTTGTCGTGTTAAAGTTCTTTGTTGTCAGAAAGAACAGGAATCATGGAGGACACCCAGTTAATTCTTGCCTATTTATTGGGGAAAGCTTATTAAAACCGAAATTATGTTGTGTTCCATTCATTGGCAGCCATATAAACATTTGCAACACTATCTAGAAAGTCAGCTTGGTGACAATTTTTGAATTACGGTCAAATACAGGCTATTTTTGCTGTGTTTAAAACATACAGTATGCTTCAGATGATTATTCATAAATGTAAATATGCACTACTTTAACGACAAGGTGATGTAGAAGTTAAAACAAATAAATAATAGCAGTTACAGTAGCAATCACTCTCCTCTCTGCCATGTTTAAAGATTATGGAATGCCCAACTTGAGGTATTAAATTATCTCAGAGTTTCCCAGTCGTAAATACAATATGAGAGGGCATTCATGTCCAATTTCCAATTAGGAAACAAGGCCTTTTAATCGATCAACATTAGAAAAACAAACATTAATCTGCAAACATTAGATTTTAGTGGTATGGCAGACAGACAATAAAGAATTTTAGTAGATAAAACTTTGGTCTGTTGGACTACTTGTTCTAACAACAAAAAAACGTGCAATATGATGAACGAGTCTTAAGGAGCCTGGACACCATTCACTTTCACTGCATGGAATAGTGGAGCATGAACACCCTAACATCTCCTTTTGTGTTCCAAAGAGGAATGAAAAATGATACTGGTTTGGAAGAACATGAAGGTGAGTAAATAATGACAGAACCTTCAATTTTTGGGTGAACTGTAACAAACATTCATCTTACCTCATCAGACTCCAGTGCCATAGACTCCACCCGCTCCGAGTTGTCCAGCAAATTCTGCAACTCGGACTGGCTGAGGTCTTGAAGCTTCTCCATTGATTTGCTAGGACAGCTGAAAAATCAACAGTAAAGTTTATTAAGCTGTACTTATAATTTACCTGTTACATTACAGCTCATCATATTCATAATATGTGATCATAATATTTGTCAATAGCATTGACATCTCATATTGTGTTCCACAGAAGAGTAGCATAATAAATGTAAACAGAATTATAATTTTTGGGAAAACGATCCTTTAAGTTGACCTATGCTAGAAGTGAATACTTGGCAAGTGTAATTTGGATATGAAACCACGACTGATGATAATCTGGACCACCAATGGCAGTCGACTATCATTCAGACAGTATATAACAGTAGACTACATAAAGTATGGCAAAGAAAATGCTATTGAAACTAAGATTATCTCTAACTGCTTGTTATATCTTAAAATAATATATCTATACTTACAAGGTACAAGCAAATCAAAGTCCTCTCCGCAGGGTGCTCATGGAAAAACATCAAACTTAACTGGAAGCGAGTGACGTCAAGATGTAGACGGAAGCGTTGAGACTGACAACTACCTCGCGAGCGTCTTCGGCGTTAAAACTCGCTATGTGCGAGAAACAGGCCCGAGGCGGTATCGGTACAAGGTGCCACGCGTTATTTAGCGCAGCAGAGTAGAAATATTTTCTCGAAATTATTCCTGGATACTGGAATCTCCCCGCGGTTAGCAGGACGGCTAAGTTAGCTCAGTAAAAAGAGAGCTGTTGGGCAAGGCGGGTTGTTATTCAATACAAAACGGCGTCGCACGATATAACAACTCAGAAAGACATAATAATATGTCTCCGATAAAACAGCATCGATGTCATTTCGAGCAAAACAGTGCAAATAAATGTTATTCACGGTGTATATTCCTATTCATAAGGGAAAGTTTCACTTCTCGTTGACAGATATCGCGGCCATCTTTGGATGAGACCATGTCGATTTTGTCTAGGGAAGTGAGATACGTTTAAATACCCTAAAACACAATTTACCTTTCTTGTCTGGATTGTCGCATACAGTTTTAGAGTATGGCTGAAATGAATATATGAATGTTTTATAATGTTTACTATTGAAAGGCATTCACATGTTTCCGTGAAAATACCATTATGCTCCCCTATCTTTGACATTGCATGGTGTGGTCCTATCTGATTGAAAGGGAAACCCCGATGTGACGGGAATGTTCCATATGTGATGTGACATGGCAGTAGGGTGACATGGCATATATATATATATATATATATATATATATATATATATATATATATGTGTGTGTGTGTGTGTGTGTGTGTGTGTGTATGTGTGTATATATATATATATATATATAAAGTTTATTTTGTGGCAAGAAAATAATTGTTTAGCATATTTACCTAGGCTATAGAAGCACCAAAAAGACACCCATAGTACAAAATAATTTTATTGCTTGTAATTACAGGCACTGTAAAACTGCACATTTGTTTTTGCATATTCAGTTACATCCATTGTTCATTACATCCACTGATTTTATGAGTTTTTTTTAGAGTTTCATTAGCAAAAGACCATCATTGCCATTGGTAATAATGGCAACACATTAGTTTTACTTAAAAAGTTCTGAGCTGTAGTGGGTTAAATACAATTAAATACAGTGGGTTAAATACAATTTATATACAGTTAAAGCAAGCTACTGTCACCAGTTTCACACAAAAAACTTCCAAATCTGTATTTTGTACATGACAATATTGTAAATTCACATTTTTAAGAAGAGAAAAAAAAACACAAAGACAATATCAGTGATAATGTTTTAGAGCAGTCTACTAATTAAAATTGCTCATAGGTAAAATGATCAAAGAGAAGTGTATGCTGTATAACGTGATCTCAGTGTTTTCTTAGACCTTTAAACGCAGAAAATGTTAGGAAACAATGAAGAACCAAAGCTGCAATATCATAAAACAACAGCTGCCCAGAGATCGATTTGTAAAAACTCTGTCAAAACAAAAAGAGAAAATTGTATGAGTTTATGGTAAAAATGAAAAGTTTATATTTAGCAAAAACATAACAGTATTTGACAATGTGCGATTTTTTGCTTTAATACATTCTCCATTAATGCTAAATAAAATAATGTGAATCACAGCACAGACCATATCTGTTATGCTATTTATTTATGTATAGGGATTTTTTTTTTTTTTAACTAAAACTATTCACCAATGGAATAATCAATCAATAATTTGAACTTACCTGAAAAACCTCTTCTGGACAAACAGAATCATGTGGGCAAGGAGGGAGGTCTAGAGAGGTACTTGCAGCATAACTATACAGAACAAGGCCAATCAGTGTCCCCACCAGGCAAGCAATACCAGAGATCAGACAGATGTTTAGCTTATAGAGAGAAAATCAAATAATTGCTTATTAATGTGTATGTCGGAATAATTCACATCCAAAAAAGCTCTAGTTACTTGAATTTACCAGTGCTTTCCTAGGACTTCTTTCAGATGCCATACCAAACGATCCAGCAATCACAGACTAATTGGAGAAGAAGAAAGAAAAACATCAGAATTAAAAGAAAAAGTTGGATTGTCATCGTAAGCAACTGTCAGAAGAAAAGGGTAATCATTTTATATATTTTGTGTTTGTTAATTTTGGAAAATCATAAGACTATAACAATCATTCAAAACATAATTGTATCATAGTTATAAAATAAACATACCACAGAACCTATATAGAGGGGGCACAAAAACATATATTTCATATCAATGCTGGCGCTGTAAGTTGGTATAGTCAGGAGGAGCTGAAACAAACCTAGTAATATTGCCAGAACCTAGAGAGGGGAAACATAACATATATGGTGAGAGAAAAAAATTCAAACAAATATTCATCAACAAAAAACATCTCAAAGAAAACTGTTACAATGACTATAAGATCCCAATCTACTTAATAACTAAAATTTGGCCCACATCCACTTACTGCCACCACTTCAGGGTCATGAAACTTGAACAGACGATGAAATTTGGGAGGATCCGAGTCAGTAGACTGCATTTGTGTGCTTGACATCTTCAATAGTCAGCTAAAAATCAACCGAGGTACTGAAAAATAGGAACATTTCAAAGTTCAGTTCAATGATTATAATGGCTCCCATACAGTCTGAAATAATAGTGAGAGAGTCTGTATCAAATTCAAACATGATCTGATCCCCCTGGATTAAAGGAACGTTTTGCGGGAATACAGATGCTGAAAAACGTCTTTGTGAGGAGAGGAAGTGGGCGGATATAATACAAAAAATGTGGCTGGAGAAGAGCAGCACAGCTTGATACAAGTCGGATTACTCAAAAGCACTGCAGAGAAAAAGGTTAGGGTGAAAAAAACAAAAACCAAAAAAAAAAAAAAAAAAAAAAACACTTCAGTACATTCATTTCCTTCAGAGGGCTGGACTAGCTGCCCAGATGTCCAAAACAGCTCCTTGCTTACAGCATAAAATCACAAATAGGCATGATAACCACTGCAAACCATTGCACACTTCAAGAGCACTTTTTTGTTACAGACATAAAATAGGCTACACTAATAAAAAAATATAGCTACATGCTTTATTGATAACTGTCTAATCAAATGTAATTAATGTACAAAAACAATGTACGACCGACTCACCTCGAATGTAGTTTCAGAGAATCCTAAACTCGCGGCAGAGAGGAACAGAGCTGTTTATGAAGTGATCGAAAACACTTGATAAAAGCTCCTGTGGGGAGATGGGGGCTGGACACGGACCCCCTTTTTTTCGCTGCGATGCTTGCATAAAAAAAAACGCAAGGGAGGGTCTAACTCTTTTTGTAAGAAGTGCAGATCTTTTATGTGGAATTATTGCGCACTTATAGACGAGTTTGACTAACAAGAGAAGAAGGGGTCCTGCCAGCACACCACATACAAACAGCTCAAAGAATCGACTCGAGCAGAATCTTTGCAGACTTTTTAGGTCAGCCTATCTCACTCATTCATGTGGAATTCTGCTCTGCGTGAACGGTGCTGACGTTACTCAACTGTAACTTAAAAACGTGTCGTATTCCCTTGTTGCAAACTTGACTTACTTGAAAACGAAGGATGACTTTGACTGTGACGACAGACCTGTCAGTAAATACTGGCCCAAGTCGGGTAGAGGAAAAGCTGGAAGACAAACAAAAAGCTTTGCGAGAAAGCATCGAGAAGGGGCAGCCCAAAATATTCGGGGTGAGTGAAGTGAACGTCGTGTTATGGCTACATTAATTTTAAAGGGCTACGCACAGATTCTCGCAGGATGCTCTGGCATAGGCTATCGTTCCTTAAAAAAAGGACGTGTTGTCAAATTGGGGTTTAATTTACCACCTTAGTGATAATTTCATGAATGACCTCCACAAAGCAAATGTTTTTTTTAAAAATGTTATGGGGTTTTTTTTTTTCGGTCAGAGGAGAAAGACCAATAGATTTGCTAACAACAAATAATAATGTGTGCACAATTTTGGATAGGCTATTTCCAATTGATCTGTTTGTATCCTTGCTATTTGCACCTGGCCTATCTGTATAAAATTGAATCTTAAATAGCCTAAAATCTTTAGTCCTCCAATTTCAAATCACTAAATTTTTCAGGCACACAGTTTGCACTTGTTCAAATTATTTGCTTAACATGTTAACGAGTGTTCAATAGCAGAAATAAGCATGTTTAATAAAAATATACATGAAATTATATAATAATGGTTGATGAAGTTGGAAAATATTTAAGAGATTGTTGTTTAATTTAGTTTTTATACATTCTCATATACATATATTTTATTTTCATGTCACAAGTAATAATCTCAGGGTTTACGGATTGTGATTCTTGATTGATTCTTTTGGTTTATGGGTTTGGTGAAGTGTATGGGTTTGGTGAATAGTCACAACTTCTCACTGCTGCTTCCTGATGGTTTACGGAGGCTCGTGATGAAGTACAATTCTGATGAAGTAAAGTTTTCTGGTCAAAAATGACTGAAGAGCACCAGAGGGTTAAATGTGAAAAATGTGCTAACATAATAATAATAGAAGAAGGAACATTTTGGTTTAAAATACTTTTAGAAAAATAAAATTCTGCTTAATAGCAGCTCAAACTGATTTAAATTTCATTATATATATAAGTTAAATTTACTTTGAGATGGACACATTTCTAACTGAGACATTTTTCTGGCTTTTTTTCTGTCTCTCATAGGTCTCTCAGATAGTAATAGGATTGCTGATCATCTCCTATTCTATACCTCTACTTTCTACTGAGACCACAATAATACTCACCTTTGGTGTGCCATGGTGGAGTGGCCTTATGGTAAATCAAACTAATAAGCCTGTAATGTAATGCATTAAGGTGATGACAAAGTGTTCAGTGAAATGTACAGTATACTGCATATCTACCAACCATGGACCTATCACTAAACTTTATTCTTTGTGTCCCTTTTTTTTCCAAACAGTTTGTCATTTCAGGCACCGGTGCAATATTAGTGGAAAAAATTGCCACCGTGAAGACAGTGAGTTTGATCTTACAACAGGACAGACTAACAAGCAAAGTATCATACAGTGTTTGTGTATTATAATGTTATTCAGTCATGACCAATAATCAATTACAAAGGCTTCACAAAAGCAGTCACGTTCTGTGTAAAAGTTTCTGTCTCCAAAATCCAATTCACATACAGGTGTGAAAAAGACAAAAATTGCTGATGGAAGTTGCTCTTGTCTTTAGGTCTCTGCTTGCTTGGCAGTCTCTTTTGTGACCATAATCATCTCAGTTATTGCACTTATCCTATACTATGTTGACATTGCTTCCAATCCGGCAACCACATGCCATATGGGATCAGACCAGTTGTGTGACCAACAGTATTATGCCACTGTATGTATCTCATGCCCTCTTATGTGAGAGTTCTATTCTATTAAGTATGTAAAAATAATTAAACAGTTGTATGTTATAGTAAGTACCCTTTCTTCAAAACAGAGATTCAGCACAGGAATGAAGATAACCATCTCAATTGTCAATATTGTCCAGACAGCACTGTCCTCTGCTTTCGCAGCTATACTGTATAATCAGAGGAAAAACTTTACAAGCTACACGGTAAGAGAAGGAAATTATATTTATTTATTTTTAAATATTTTATATTCTTGATTTTGTATTGTCTATAATTCATATGAACTTGTGATTTGATGATTATTTATTCCAAAGAAAAACAAAGCTTTAGTCTTCCTCGGATTTTATGTCAAATGTTTTGTTTTCATAGTGTTTTGGCAAAGTTAGCATGAAAATGTGTATTCTTTTCTGCACTTCTATTCAGAATTACATTAGGAAAAAAGTTTAATATGGAAACAATACATTTCTTACAAGCACTATTAAATGTTGTTTTACATTTAAAATAATTTAGGATCAAATTCAAAGCTAATATGCAAAGTATTGATTTTTTCTCCTCTCTCTTTCTCTCAGACCCTGGGCCAATGATGTCCTGCTTAGGATGCTGATCATCCCATGTATGCCATTTGTACTCCCATGTATAACAAATGTACCCCTGATCGCATTTCTGGATTATAATCAGAGGTCCTTAAACTAACCTATCCACTTCATATGTGTGGTTTTGCTTAACCAATAATGCTGTCCATTGTGTGTGCAAGAATGCAATGCACTGAAATGTTGTTGTATTTTAAGTGAAAATTAATTCAAAGTGAATTGTATATATATTTTTAATCTAATATCATCAATATAATCGTATAAATATGTTTTTTTTTATTAAAGTTTTATTTCACATTTAAAGGTAATGTTTTGTTGTTTTATTTTATTTACAATTCTGATCACAACTGAGCCATTTTCAAGAAATGGCTAAATGTGCATCATTTTCGTCAACACTTGATCTATTAACACATTCTGTTCTATTCTATTTAAGGCCTATATATAATTGCACTAAATTGTTGGTTTGAACGCTATGTAAGTCGCTTTGGAAAAGCGTAATAATGTAAATGTTTGCTAAGTTGATAGAAAACATTTTTGTGCAGGGCAATTATTCAGTCAGTCACAGTCACATAACAAGACAATAAGATAATTAGCTTGTAAACAATGATAGGGGTTTGCTCGTGAGTCGTGAATTATCACGTTATAAATAGTTCCGAGTTGTTAGACTGATTTTAAAGCTGTCGAATTTCAAACTTCCAGAAGTAAAAGTCGTATCACACGAAATATTAATCAAAGGGAAAAGTAGCTAAATAAATACATTTATTTATATATATATAAAAAAAGGTTTAGAAGATACATCAAGCAACATGACGTGATCATCAGCTGGAAGAATGGATTCACTGTGAGATCCAGTATGCTGTACACACGCAGTAGCTTAAACCTTGTCACTAGTAAGTCAAATATCCAAATGTCAGTTTAATATAAGCCTATTATTTTTCTGTAAGCTATGATATCCCTGTCGCAAATACGTTCCTCTCCAGTGGGGGCTTAGTTGTGTCCTAATCGCTCGTTTTTTGAGGTTGATTTTTTTTTTTTTTTTTGCTTGTTTGCTGTATACGCTGTGACATAGCATCTTTTAGACATTGTTTTTTTTTTTATATAAGTCAAAAATGACGAGGAGGCAGTGTTTCCCCGGTGTGGGCGTGGTTTAAATGTGCTCCGTCTATTAAATATTCATGAGCTGTTGTGTTCCCGCTTCTCCCGTAGCAGCCAGTTATTCGTTCGTTGCTCGTTGCTAACAACAGACGCTGTATCAGACCTCCTTGAAATAAGCATTTTTTTTTTTTTGGCTGACTACATATTACACATCAGTTTCTACGAGATTTAAGGTTTGTTTCTCGTCACAGGGCAAGTTCATTATTATTAAACGAAAGGCAAAAATAAAACGTTATAAACATTATGCCTGCTCAGTGAAGTGGTCTCAAAATCCGCTCCTGGTCACTGTCATGCAAAATTCAGCTCCAAACAGCTCATCATAAGCAGTTTCTAGCAATCCTGGAGAGCTTGTTTTTAGCTGGGCCAGGTGTGTTTGATTATTGTTAGAGGCGAGCTAAACTCTGCTGGGCAGTTTTAGATCAGGGCGGTTTTAGACCACTAACGGTTAACTGTCCTAGCGTGTTGTTGTGCTAGTTATGCCGCCTTCACACTGGAAGTTGAAATCAGCTCCACGTAATACGTTCCCAACGGACACAGTGAAACTGAAAAGCTTCGGACGCTCTTTTTTACAGTCTATGGTCGAATACGGGTAGAACAAAAATGGCTGAGAGATTAGAACGGTTGATTCTGTCAGTTCTGTATGATCTCTCTGATGAGGGTTATAGAGATATGGAAGGCTGCTGCGTGAGGAAAGTTGCTGAGGACGTTGACATGTCAGGTCGACTAAAAAAATGTGAAATGGTGGTCAAGTTCAATGTCTGCCTACAATTTAATTGTATTAACTGTCCTAATAACGTTAGAAAGTCATGAAAATAAAAAAAATGACATGATAGCTTATCGTTATAAAATCATTATTTATTTAATTAAAAGATTTCAGGTTTGTTTATCAGTACTACCAAAGCAATGCTCAACTTCCACTGGAATTGTCGGATAGGAACCGTCCGTAGCTTTTCGCAAGAGTTAAATTTTTTGAACGCATCCGGAGGACCAACGGACATGGTTTTCTTTGCACAGCACTCGGTCGAACCCATTTCGGACCCATTCGCATGCGGTCTGCGAATCGAATGACTTCCGGTCTTTTCGGAGCCGTATCGGAGAGGATATCAACTGCCAGTGTGAAGGCGGCATAAGAGTTCAATTTTTTGAACACATCCGGATGACCAACAGACGATTTTCTTTGCACCGCACTCGGTCGGACCCGTTTCGGACCCATTCGCATGCGGTCTGCGAATTTCAATAGGAAATGAATGACTTCCGGTCGTTTCGGAGTCGTATCGGAGAGGATTTCAACTGCCAGTGTGAGAGCGGCATCAAGTCGGAACATCAGCTTACAAGCAACTTGGAGACCGATGGAAACAAAAACCAAAGTTTTATACCACCTCTCGTTTGTCGCCGGGGGGGTGGCGTAGTTCTGCAAAAACTCAGAGGCTTGCGTTTTGCACCTTTAAAAGTAACAATTACCCCTTCCTTTCCATCCCTCTCATAGTTTATGTGAGGCAGAGACGAGCTAATGGCAGAGACGGATGACATCTTTAGGCCCATCATCGTTGATGGAGTGGTGGTCCGAGACAAAACATTTTTGGAAAGACTGGGGAAAGTGCTGAAACTTCAGTGGCTAAGTGACAAAAGTCTAGAGGCATGAACTGACTCCCTTGCATACAGTTTCCAGTTACTTTGTAGTTGGGAAACTTAGCAATGACTATACAGATATGGGGCCATATTTACCATGAATTTTATTTTACCACTAAGTTTTCCTACGAGTTCCTAGCTAGGAGTTTTAGCTTAAAACTATTCACAAAATTCTTAAAAGCAAGTTTTACCAAGGAACTTACCGGAGTTGACCTCATTGCTATGGATGATGTAAAAAATTTAAATTGCACACAGCAGTGTAGCAGACCATGGGAAAGAGAAATAAAGATAGAAATACAGTATATAGCTATATCAAATGCAATCACCATTAATCACCATTATATATATATATATATATATATATATATATATATATATATATATATACACTATATGTGTACATATACACACACACTAGACAGTATACCTGTATAGAACATCATGATGGATAATACAGAAGCACAAAAGATAAGATATATTTACTCGGTTGCAATGCTCATTGAAAACAGCAGGCATGCTTTGGATCTTTTCTGAGTTTCTCTTCAGAGGGACTTTTAAGCTGTTCTAGGTTAAGGAGCTACTTTTCGTGTTAAATAGATTAATTAAATTAGTGAAATACTCTTAGATGATAATTTTTTGAGTCCTAAAATTATGAGCAGCACACACCTATTTTTAAAGAGGTTGCTCCTAAATTTCCTCATTAGGAGCAAATTTTAGCCTTAAGATTTTATTTTATTTATTTATTTATTTTTTGAATATGGCCCCCTGTTATTGAAAGGAATATCTGAGCAGACACCTAACATTATCATTAATAACATTAATATAACATTATGATTTTTTTAACAAATTTAGAACAATTCCACCTTTTCAGTAATAGCATGTAAAGTTAGGCTTTACATGCACATTATTAAAAAATGTTCATTAGCTTAAGTTTATACCTTGCTATCTCTCAGATGAGGAAATCGCTCCTTGACAGTATCATTCCTTCTCTTGCTTGCCGAGCTGTGGAAAACAACGATTTCATTTCACTAAGAGTCCTCCTAAAAAAGGTTACCAAACTTTACATTTCCTAAACTAAAAATATGGACAGCAAAAATGTTGAATTCCAACCTATTTCATACCAAAAGTGATTTCTTTTTTTTTTTTTAAACCTTTTAAGGGGGATGCCAGTTGTGAAACCTATGACGAATTCACACCCCTTCATACAGCATGTGAGCTGGGGAATTTAGAGATGATTCTTTTCTTGCTGACAAGGGGGGCATCTCCTCGTCACATGAACCGCTTTGGAAACTGCCCAATGTACATGGCCATTAAAAACAGGTACATACAGTACACATGTGATTATTTGTTAATTCAGCTGATATTTTTGACTAGTAAAATGTGTCAACTTTTATTTCATCTATCACTGTTCGCTCTGTCTGGCTTTTTAGACTGCTCTGTAGGGGTGATATATTTTTGTCGGCCAAAACCCAGAAATGATTTACAACTTCCAGTTTCATCACCCTGAAGTCAATGGGTTTTTGGTTACATGCATGAAATACGTTATCTGGTTAACACAAGCTAAAAATATTGTCACATTTTATTATACAGCATCAAATACATCCGGTTGTTGGGGACATTAAACGTCATTAGCCGACAGGCAAACCAGAGACAATTTATATAGAGACATGCCACTTCCAAATCCTCAATACAACTATATTGGGAAAACCCATAACGACAAAGATGGTGGTTGTGTGCACATGTCCCGCCCCTCCCGCTGGAAAGCCAATCGTCTGCTTTTAACAGTCAAGCCGGGAAACATTTAAGCCTATCGTCGTCTGGTTTCACTGACGCACACGCACATTTGATGTTTGCGACAGCGGAGACAAGAACCCTTGTGTATGCGTAGTAAAAGTATAACCTGTGGGAAAAAGGGCGTTTTAAACCTTTTTGGGGGTAAAGTCATCAAACCCATTTTTATCATAATTTACTGCTGTTTCTAATTATGTCTCGGTGACCAGTGAAACTGCAGTTCTGAGTCTCTGCCCATTCATTTAGATAGGAGCCTGGTCTTGTTAGTCCGAAATAGCTGCCTGGAGGCGTTGCCAAGATGGCGGCCGAGTGGCATGACTTGCCTAAAATGACTTTGGGTAAACTCATCTATGCACGAGTCCGCTTTTACAGCATCATTGTGTTTACAAATCAGCCTACAAAAACATGTCATCCCTGCAGCACTTTCCTGACAGCAACTCATTTATCCTATATTATCTCCGACTGAATTCTCACTCAATGTAATTTGAATTAATATTGGGGGCATAAATGAATAATTTGTACATGCTCAGCTCAAACATGTCACTATTGGTGTTTCTTTTAGGCACTGTCATGCTGTTAAACTCCTGAGATTAAAAGGAGTCACTGTTAGTCTTCAGACTGTGAGAATTGCCATGGAAATGATCCAGTAAGCATTTACCATTTAGTATCTCACAAATAAATGTCACACAACATTTTACAGCACAATGCATGCTTCTTATTTATAGTCAGTGAGCTTATTTTTGTTTAACCCTTTCACTCAACAGAGCGGTGCAGAACAGAGATTACCCTGTGCTGCGTGCTTGGTTTCTATCAGGAGTCGACATGGACGCTAAAGACTATAATGAGCGCACTGTAATGCATGAGGCGGTTTGTCTGAGAGACAAATCTATGATCAGCAGACTACTGGGATATGGAGCCACACCACTGGTATGAACTACTTATTCTGTACAATATTAGAGAAGGATGTTTAAATATGTTTATTTAAAAAAAATTAATTTAATATTAAACACACTGACACTAGATAAACATTTTGATTTACTCTTTCTCCCCATTTCTCTAGGAGAGAGATGTGTGGGGTCAGACAGCCATGGATATTGCTCAAAATGACGCAACGATGATGGCTCTTTTTGAGCCTATTTTCACAACGCGTTGCCCCACCAAACAGGCCTATCTGCTGTATAAGGCAGAACATTCACACATATAAAAAAGGTTATAATAATATCAGTAATTGAAAAAAAAAATAATCAGAAACCTTTTTAATTAATCTAATTTGTGAATTAATTGTATTCATTAGAATGTATTTTTCTCTCAATCTGCTGTATTGTATTTGTGGGAGGAATAATTGATAATAATAAATAAATCTATGTTGTGGCACACTATTCCTTATGTTTTTCACAATTTCAGGTATGTACAGTTCATGTAAGCATACAGATATGCTCAGTTAGTAAATTTATACATAATTTTTCTGGCATTTTCAAAATTCCCCCAAAAGCCAAACATGGTTGTGAGAGTTATAATCGTAGTCTTGCACAATTCTCATATGGCATTAATTTATGTGTTGTTGTTTTTTTTCTGGATGATGTAAACCGTACAGTCTAGTCGTCGATAGGCGACAGGGTTGCTCCTCCTTCCAGGAAAGAATTCAAGAGGAAGCAGGCATTTGCTCGAGGAAAATAAACGCTTCATGGATTAGTTTAGTAAACCCCAAGCTTATTATTGATGGATAGAGGTGGTATCTCTAATATGGAAAAAAGCCCATCCAAAACTTACTTTACTAATTCCCAAGTGGAGACGCCTGAATTCATCGTCCTGGGTCTTTCTGTGTAGGACACTGTTGCCAGTTCAGTTGTTTTCCAGTTGTTTCTTTAACACATCGTTTGAGAAGAACATTTCCCTCACGCATAATAATTCTGCGTCAGCGTTGTCTGAGCGTGGGCTAGTTAGCGTAACCTTGTTAAAATGGGTCGGTGTTTATATTTTACAACACTTATACTTTCAGTTTCATGTCAGCTGATTCCATTGTGTCACTCTTTCGAATGGGACAAACAATCTGGTCCCCTGCAAAATGTGCGGTCCATCATCACAAGTTTTTCGGAGGAAGCACACAGTTACCTAGTCTCTACAGTCGGCGAAAAAAGAATCAATCTGTGTCTCAAGGTGAGCTTATATTGAGGAAAATCAGTCTTTTATTACATACTTTTTCATACAAATGATTTTTGGTGTCTATCTCTCTATCTAGTTCATAATCAGCTATCTAGTTCAAGTGCAGTTAATATTGTTTGCTATATGAGAAAGTATGCATTTATTTATTTATTATTATTTTATTTGGTGGGAAAAGCGAAACATTTGACAAAAATACATTTATTAGGTTTTTAAAAGCAAATCAATGTAATGTTTCTAAATGGAAACCTTCCGGTGGTCAAACCAGACTGATCCGTTTTACATTTGGTAATGTGATGAAAACCTTGGGTTACTTTTGGTAAACCTTGAACTTCTGAAATTTCAGTGATTTGACTTTTACACCAGTTTTTTGTCACCAGTTCAAAGTGTTTAAGAAAAGTGTGGTCATTTGCTTTGCAGATGTGGTTTGATATTTTGCTAATGCATTCATACAATTCTAAAGAGTAAAGAGTCCAAATACTTCTCCAGGGCCACTGTTTATGAAATTACATTATGCATTACTGCATAATAATGCTTTTTGGATGAAGTCATGCTGTTTTGTGGAGTTGTTCTTTTTTTTGGACAAACATTTACACTCTTATGTTTTATTTATGGGCACCAGTTTCTACAAAGTGGTGTGAAGTGGCTATCAGATGCAGTGGCTTCAGCTCTTAACATGGTCATCCAGTTTGTCACAGAAATCTTGGAATCAGCAGGAATGCACGGTAATTGTACAAAACAAAAAAGTACTTAGAATGTATTCAAACCAAAGCACATGCTAACATGTACGTTTTTCCATGTGTCTAGCCAAGCAACCTTTCCAAAAAGTTACTCCGGAGGGAGTGATTTTTGTCACTCAGTGGGCCCTTCTGGCTGTTGTGGCCTACATGATAATATCCTTCATCCTTCGCTTGGTTGTCGGTGCTGTGAGGCAGGCTATGTGGCTGCTGAAAGTCACCTTTGCCATTGGCATGTTTGCATTGATTCTCAGGGACACTGGAGCCTCTGCAGAAACCACAGCGATGAGATTAGCAGGCCTGGCGTGTGTTTGTGTCCTTTTAGGAATAGGTGCAACATCTGCAAAGCCAGATCCGCACCTCGAAAACAAAATCAAGATGCTGGAGAGACGACTGAGAGAGATGGAGAAAAGCAAAATGGAATGATTATGGAATCCCTCACCAGACCAGATGTAACTTTAATTTCCATTTCTCTTTGCCACAGTTGTAAATCCAAGGATATAATCCAGCATGTTATTGGGACTTGATACCCCCTAAACTTGGAGGTTGCGTTGATATTTCAAGAGTTAGCTAAAAGAATATTGATTCTCAAGGAAACTGGTCCTGGCATTTAAAGGCCCATTAACAAAAAGTTGGTCGTTGGATTTTGACGCACGTCAAAACACTGATTGAACATGTGGTCAGGTGAAAATAAACCCTGACCAAAGCAGACAGGAACAAAACCGAATAAATAAATATACGTGTTTGTTGGCGTTTGTCTGTGTGGTGTGAATTGGCCTCAAGGGTTTAAATTGTTAACAAATAATGAATGCTCAAATAATGAATGTCTTCACGCTACATTAAATAATCTTGTTTTTGTTGCTTTGTAAATTATTCAGGGATGTGATGGACAGGGCAACATTACAAAATGTATTTAATCAGTTCATTATAATAAATTTAACAAAACCTGTTCAATAAATTAATTCTCCTTGAGAACAATCCACTACATTTTTCTATGGCTTGTTATGAGAACCAAAAGCCTGAAATGAATTCCTAAAGTCAGAAATCACAAACTGAAAAATTGGTCCCTGCATTTATTCTCAACCAAATGCAAATCTTCGGCTCAAATTCCAGAATCTGCATTTTATTAATTTTTTTCCCTTTTTTTTGTACCCTATTCTAAAGTACATACCCCCTTCGACTGTCTGAATCCAGTGGAATCTTTCTTGTTATGCTAACTTTACTGAAACCTCAGCAATAATAAAAAAGAATCACAGCTGCAACGTCTATTTTGATACAATCCTGGAGCTGCTCGATTCTAGCCATGTGCAAGAAATTTAGCTTAGAAATGAAATGACATGAATATTTATTACGATAGTCACGTTTATTGTCATTATTATAGTTTAAAGCATAACATTGAAATAAAACTACCAATAATGCAACATATAACAAGGATAAGGCATTGCCAGTTGGCTCTAGAGAAGAAATACAGATAAAGAGAACGTGTAGAATGAATATGCAATATAAACAGTAAGAAATACAGTCATATTGGCAGAAATTGATAACAATTTTACTTCAGAACAATGATAAGTATTTTTATATTTCTTTATCCATTGCAATATGAAGGCCATTTAAAATTAAGCAAGTACAATGTTTACCCTATATACTATAAAACTACACCACTATAACATTTAATGAATATATTCAAGACTCAAGTATAATTTTTTTTTTAAAAGGTTTGAGGCAGCTGTAGTTTAATTCCTGATTTGAGGCAGTTGTTGTTTAATTCCAGCTAACAGCACTTTGAAAATGCCCTATAAGCAAATGCCGAAAAGAGGCTATTCGTGTTAGTAGAGAAAAAAACTCTGAGAGAGTTGAAAGAGAATTCACTTACATGCATATTCAATAGTAATGTGTACATGTGTTAAATTAAGTGTGCATACATATATATATATATATATATATATATATATAAACACACACACACATACTGTATACATACACACACCTTATAATTCCTGAGGTCTATATTTTAGTTACACAAGACCGTTTTTTTTTGTTCGTTAGTTGTTGTTTTTTTTTTTGTAAAACTAGATGACTTTCAAGAGGCAGGGGTAAGGCTGTACAAAGCAAAAGTTGGCAAAAATAATAAGAATGAAAATATACATTGTCAGGCAGAGGGAAACAGGTACAAAAACGTACTAAATCATGGTAATGGCTTATTCTATTTAGTTCTACACAAAAGTGTAGAACATGGCTGACTTGTATGAATAAAGTTAAAATGGTAGCTTAGTCTCATCTTCAAGGAATAGTTTACCCAAAACAAAATAATTCAATCATCATTTACTCTCCCTCATTTCATTTCAAACCTGTATGCAGTCCTTTCTTCTGTGGAAGGGTTGGGTATCGAGAATCGAGTATCGATTGGAACCGAGACTAACTTTTCGTTTTTCCCGGAATCGTTCAAAAGTTAAAATTTCGATTCCTAGTTTCGATATTCACAGTCCGCCGAGCGGAAGAAGAAACCGCTGAACAACACCAACGAAGAAGCGTCTACCGGAAGTGTGGCTTCACTTTTCTAAAAATAACGAAATCTCGGCAAAATGCAAAATTTGTGACAAAAGGAGTATTTTTACAGAAGGAGTATTTCCTTCAGAAAGGATTATTTCCTTCAGAAAGGCCGTTGGTTTGCAAGGTTAGCTAAACTTTTTTGACCCTGCCTCTTAGAAGAATCGAAATCGAGAATCGTTAGGAACCGGAATCGAAACAAGGAATCGGAATCGGAATCAGAATCGTTCAAATTCAAACGATACCCAACCCTGTGGAACCCTACGATATTTTGAAGAATGATGGAAACCAAACAGTATTTATGCCTAACTGCCCATTAACTTCCATTATATAGACACACACACAAAAAAAAATCTTCTTTTATTTTCTAGTCAGGCAGATTTTGGCTAGTATTTGTCTATGGATATTGCATTACTGCTTCAGTATCCCCAACTTTCAGCAATTGATGTCGTTGGAAGCCCATTTAGAAGGAAAATCCTCATAGTTTTGTCCCTGTAGCATGAGTATAATATTAAAACCATTTGGCTAACAATATGGTGGTAGCTTTCTAACAGTAAAATATACAGGGGTTGGACAATGAAACTGAAACACTGGCCAATGTTGGAGGTTTCACATCTATATGCCTGGCGGCCAATCTTCAGAGTGAAGCACGGGTGGATTAGTGATGGTTTGAACTCCAATATCATGACAATCCTGATTGTATATGATGGACACGACACTGCCGAGGACAACCAAACCCTTCTGGAGGATCATGAGCACCTGATGCTCAAACCGTGTATCAGCATGATCATGCACCAACACACACAACAAGACTTGTGACAGAAGGGTTTGATGAAGATGAAAGTGACGTTGAACATGCACAGTCACCAGATCTAAATATTATTGAGGTGTTTTGGAGGAGCGAGTCCACCAGCATCATATAGTGACCTGGACACTGTTCTGGAAGAGGAACGGCTCATAATCCCTCTGGTCACTGTGAAGGACTTCTATCTGTCATTCCCAAGATGAATTGGTGCTGTATTTGGATGCAAAATGAGGCCCTCACCATACTAACAAATTATTGTGTTGTAAAACCAGGTGTTTCAGTTTCATTGTCCAACCCCTGTATATCACTGGTTTCAGTAAATAGCTTCTTTCCAATTAAAAGTGCTCTAAGCAATGTCACATGTTTTTTAGGCAAAGACATTTTTTTGTCACATACAGCAAACATCTCACTATCCGCTAGGGTTTAGGGGGATAGTGCACGGATGAGGAGGAGGGAGGGTCTAGCTAGCCTCCATTTTGTTTGACAATACTTTAAACATCCACAAGAAGTGACGTCACCCGACATCGCTTAGAGCACCTTTATTTTTTAAGGCTTGGGTTTGTATCGATTAGTCAACAGCTAAGTGTTTGTTTCCCTCACAGTGATAATTCAGGATTTTGGAGGATCTAAAGGAAGTTGCTGCCAGAAGACTTTCCTTTGTTAATGTCAAACTGGACACTAGAATCACCGGAGTTTAGGATATCCATGGAAACACTGGCCATATTAGACTGGTGAGACTAGAAAAAGAGGGTTAAGAGAGAGACACAGAGAGTCAGAAGGTTGTTTTTCAGCAATTTTGGGCACATTTTTTGCATTTTGTTTAAAAATGTAGACATTACAAAAAGGCTGTCACTGAAGGAATGGACAGGTTTGGAAACATTTGATTATAGGACACTTAGAAACAACAGATGGCACACCACAAGATTGCACCAAAATGTTTACTCACAAGTAGGGGAGGGAAACAATAAAATGATCATGACCCGTTTAATGATTTTGCAGACTGTGACAAAAAGTGTAAGCTTTACCTCAGGTTGAGGTGTGAGCAGTGGTGCGTTTGGAGACGGTTCATTCATCTTAAACCCTGCGGCTTCAGGCCCAGGAGGAGCGCTGTATATCCCTGGCGTATAGTTCTGAGGACACACAGAGTGTAAATGTTAAAAAATATACACAAACAAAACACATGCACACTAAAAATGACTTAATGTGCTTTTTTTTCAAAGGCACGTTTATAAAAGCTACTTGTTTGTGCTTATTAAACTATAGCCTAATCCTGGCTAAATTAATTAGTGTTGTTTGTTATCTTGTTTTTGTCAAACAGAAATGTTAACATACAGGATGAAAAAGCAAAAAAAAAAGCAACATATGTTGGATGTACCACAGCCACAGGTGCAGGTGGGTTGTACTGGGTGGGAGGAGCATTCCACTCTGGAGGCTGAGCAGGGGGAACTCCAAAGTCAGGAGGGTAGACAGGGTTTTGAGGCACATACGCTGGTTGAAAGCCCTTAAAAAGAGAACATGCACAAATGTTTTTTTTTTGCCAGTTTAAAGTGCACATGTAACCCTCACTTTAATATAAATGGCATTAAATGTTGCATGGTGCTCTGGTTCACCATACTCTAGTCAGAATACTGCTCCATAGGGCTTTGATTATGAGACATGCACTGTTGATTTCTTTTAGATCAGATGCGATAGTGGAATCTATACATCTCAATTCTCCAGCTGCAGTCAACTTTAAGTGGAAACCAGTTCAACCCAAGCACTCTTTGATAATGTGATGATTACATAACTGCAAATCATCTGTCCATCATCTTATATATCCTGCCCTGCCAATTTGATCGGCCCGACGATTTCTGAACAATCATAATTACTCCTCAATGGATCGAGTCCAGACCGAACCTCCTGACCAAAAAAATGTTGTTTGATAGCAATAGCAAACCAGCATAATAAGCTTGGAATTCATATTGGTTTAAAAAGTACCAGCATATCTTGAATTTTGGCAAGAGATAGGTCACCCCAAAATTTTAATTAGCTCATGATTTACTAACCCTGAAGCCATCCTATACGGCATTCTTTCAGACGAATACAATCGCTGTTATATTAAAAAATGTAACATTTGACAATGTATGTCGAAGGATGTCGGAGTATTATTATAATGCGTACGGCCATCTGCTGGAAGCAAGTTATTTTAGTCGATAAAGTTTTAAACATGGATATTTTTCGGATCCATCGCTTCACTTCAGGGCCTTTCTTAACCCCCCAAAGCCAGTTTGGGCACTTTTATAACGGATTGATGCGCTTTGATGAACTTTCAAGAAAATATACCCATTGACTCTCATTATAAAGCTTGGAAGAGCCAGGACATTTCATGAAAGAAGAATGTCATATACACATAGGATGGCTTTAGGGTGATTAAATCATGGGCTAATTTTCTTTTTTGGGCGAACTATCACTTTAAAGGGCTAGTTCATCCAAACTTGTGAAAATTATGTCATTAATGACTCACCCTCAAGCCTGTAAGACCTCCGTTCATCTTCGGAACACAGTTTAAGATATTTTAGATTTAGTCTGAGAATTTTCTGTCCCTCCTTTGAAAATGTATGTACGATATACTGTCCTTGTCCAGAAAGGAAATAAAGAAATCATCAAAGTAGTCCATGTGACATCAGTGGGTTAGTTAGAATGTTTTGAAGCATTGAAAATACATTTTGGTCCAAAAATAAAAAGCACGACTTTATTCGGCATAGTATTCTCTTTCGGTTCTGTTGTCGAGCCACGTTCTGTGACTCTGGTGATGTAAAACGCTGCTGACGTGTATCTGGTGTGTCCCTGTATTAAGGTTCAAATAAATATGGCTGGGCAAAAAAAATACCTGTGTCTTCATCTGTGTCGAAATCCTTAGACATGTTTGAGAAGATTGTTTTGTTTACAGTGTGCGTCTTCCTCAGACTGTAAACCAAGCTCGGGCAAACTGATAACACGTCAGCAGCGTCCTCACCAGAGTCACAGAACATGGCTCGACAACAGAACCCGAAGAGAATACAGTGCTCAATAAAGTCGTAGTTTTTGTTACTTTTGGACCAAAATGTATTTTCAATGCTTCAAAACATTCTAACTAACCCACTGATGTAACATGGACTACTTTGATGATGTCTTTATTTCCTTTCTAGGGCAGTATATCATACATAGATTTTCAAAAGAGGGACAGAAAGCTCTCAGACTAAATCTAAAATGTTTTAAACTGTGTTCTTAAGATGCATGGAGGTCGTCTTACAGGCTTGGTACGACATGAGGGTGAGTCATTAATGACATAATTTTCATTTGGAGAACTAACCTTTTAGGTTTGCATGTCCATACTGGTCCACCTGCTAAACCAGCTATAAAGGTCTGTTTACATGGAAAACTTATTTTCCAGTATTTATCTAGGTAATCAAGCACTTTGAGTAAATTAAAGTTTTGCTATCAGATTTTTTTAAAGTTACTGCTTCCTTAGGATGAACTGCTTTTGTAGTAACATTCTATATTTGTCCCTTTGGATAAAAGGATCTGTTAAATTAATAAAAGTAAATGTAAATCTCTGTGTGAATTTATGTGAACTCACAGGGTTTGGAGAAACAGCAGGTTGTCCATTCCACTCTGTTGGTGGAGGATAGTGGATCTGTCCTTGATCTGGATGAGATGGATAACCAGCGATGTAGCCCTTTGTTCAGAAACCAAAAAAAAAACATTCATTCTCATTACAGCTGCTACAGAGACTAACATCTATAAATGTTGCTTGGCTTATTATTATTATTAATTTTTTCTTTACATTTACATTTTAGTCGCATAACATCGGTTAATGGAAACGCTGTCATTTCATAATAGTCTTTTTTATCGACATTTAGAAAATATCGCAAAAGTTTTGCGCAAATCTGTAATGGAAATGCTCCTTATGATAAAAATTACAGATTTCTACATGCTTTGTAAGTGAGAAAACCTGCAAAATATATACTCAAATACTTATTGTCCCCACTGTATCTAACTTCTGAATAACTACTGAATAATATTCAGAAGTAATCAGTGTAGATGACTTAATGTTTAGATGACAGAGTGTTTATGTCAGAATGTTTATTTTTAAACCACAACTTCAATGTGTGCTGCTTTTACCGATATATTTACCGATATCTTTTGCATTTAAAATCCAAACAACGTCAAACTTGGGACTGCACTTACTTGTGCCCGTAGCAACACACCTGTCAAGTTTGAAATCCACACCGGACTAACGGTTCGAGAGATACATGATTAAAACACACAGACAGACAGTTGGACATTCCTGTAATTTATAAATAGATGAGGGGGTAGACAGGAAAGTACAGGAAGAGAGACCGAATCTTCACATTTATATTACCTGGCCGGGGTTTCCAGGACCTATAGGACCTACAGGATCAATCACTGTGTTGCTGCAAGGTATGGACACAGGTACAGTATTAAGGTTGTTGGACTCCTCTGTTTGTGATTTGTTGGTCCGGCACCTATTGCAGATTCTCTTTCTGCAGCAAAAGCAGATTCCACAAGGAATGCCAAGCAGCGTTAAAGCTAAAAAACCCACACCAGGGTTATGTGGATGTTGATCTACATGAAACATTTGAAGAGATGAGACAAGAAAAAAAATATTAGTGGTTACTAATACATGCATCATAAATCTATAGAATAATCCTGCAAAACACAGACACAGACAGGAATATATTTATTATACTAACATTTGTATACTAATAGTACTGTTCAAAACAAATAAAAGTTTCCTGTGATGGCAAAACTGAACTTTCAGTATTATTGATCCAGTCTTCTGTGTCACAGGATCCTTCAGAATCCATTCTAATAAGCCTATTTGCCAAGGACGACTTTCTGGAAAACAGCGAAGGAAACCAGGATTGCATATTACAGCCTCCGATAACACCAGAGCAGCAGCCCCTCTCTCCAGCATCTCCACTTTTGTGCTTCTCAGAGAAAATGGAAAAACTGGTGTATGCTGAAACCAAACTGTTGCTGCAAGCCCCCAGATGCCCCACAATGCCAGGCCCCATAAGCACCAAAGCCTGCAGGCCCAGCCCCTCCTCCTGTGAGCGCTCTTCAGCCTCTGCCACAGCGCCAAACAACTGATACCAGCTCTCAGTGATATGTGTCGGGTCCCCGCTATGATAACAGTAACTTTCTTAAGTGTTTACAAAACAAGCAGGAACCCAGTGTGCATGAATTTTTTATAATCAATTACATGATCTAAAATCTAAGGCCTTCAAAAGCCGTACAGCAAACCATTACATGCCAAACTAAGATTGCTGTGGGGACAAAAAGTAAGACTGTTAAGTTAGCACTTTTAAACATCTGCTCACTTAAAAATAAATCACTTCTACTCAACGACTTAATAACCCCATACAACCTGGACTTTATGTTTCTAAATGAAATGTTTCTAAATTCCTATTGATGCCATCCTTAATATTTACATCAAAGTAGAGCTTGCGTGACATTTTACGAACACTCGTTAAGTGTTGCCAATCTTTCAGGGATATTTGGTTATAGTTGTTCTTACGTTCACTGACTTTTAGTTAGTATTCATTAGGTCCTGTTCCCAGCACTTGTTTGTCATCTTGGTTGCTAATGAGTTGTCATTCTGTTCAGCGGTGTTCCCTTATCATCATCATCATCATCATCATCAGTAAGTTCCTGTATTTTCAATGTTCTTGGTGCAGTCTAGTTTTTTCCAGTGTCGTATTTGTTTGCCTGTGTGTCTCTGAATTTATTTGTGTGGATTATTAAAGAAATTTCTGAACTTATTCCTCATCATCATTGTGTGTTCCACAACGGTGCGTCACACAATCACAACACACTGGGCGAGCAAACCAATCACAGCACATTTCGTATTTAGAAAGGAGGGGCTTCATCGAATCAAAACTTAAAGACACGTGCCAGACTGGGTAGAGAGGTGTAAAATATGAGAAATTATGTTTTTTTTAAAACTATGAAAGCATATTCTAGTACACCCCAAAACCAAAATCAAGGTTTCGTAAAAAGGAGCTCACAGTAGGACCCCTTTAACACAAGTAAGAGCTGAAGCTGACAAAAAAAAAATCATTTTGGGGATGTCCTCATTTGTAAAAACGACATAAAAATAAAGTAAATGCAGTTTTTCTTTTATTTGTGTATTGAGTTTTTAATTGTGTGTGTGTGTGCAAATTTAAAATATAAAATATATAGAAGAAAATCTTTTCTTACCCACTAGTAGCATTGTATAGTTTGAGACAGTTCTGCCTTTATTATCGGTGAGCTGGTATCTGCCCAAATCTGACACATTGACATTGAGAATCTGGATCATTTCGCTGGTCACTTTAAGACGGTTAATATAGTCTAGTTTCTCCTTGCCCACTGGAACTCCATTCTCCACCAGGATGACAGATGAATAATTGCCGTAAAAACGAAGCGTGGCATCACTCTGCCTGAGTCCTAGCAGTGGTATACTTAGTTTTTCACCTGCTACACGCTCAATGATTTCCCTGTTGGCTGAAAAAAAAAAAAAAACAGTGAGGATATGTGGACCGTCACAGAGATATTATTCTGAGATAGAGGTTTAAATTAATACTCACTGTTGACCTTCACTGTATAACTGGAGATGGTTGCACCAAAGTGATTGCGCAGGGTGTAGGTTCCCTCGTCGTCAAACGTAACATGTCTGATTATGAAAGACCAGCCATTACTAGCACTGTTTACTTGGCCTTTACTGGGTCTACTGGGAAAGACAGAGATGCCTCGATGTTCCCAGATTGTAAACTTATCTCTCTCATCAGCAGAGGTAAAATCCAAACTCGCCGTCCTTTCAGGAAGATCCAGAAACAACTGACGGCCATGGATTAGATCCCTTCGAGATATTCCTGAGACTGGCACTGAGGGAGACAATTTTTGTTTTGTTGTTTCATATTCTAGAGATGTTGTTTAGAATTACAAGATGAGTAGAAGTTCTTTAGAACTGCCGGGCAATTAGAATCATGTATACTGCTTTTTTTTTGTCTTATATATCAACACATGACATGATTCAACTGTGATTCTAAAGAACTAAAGTAAGGTTATTTTAGTGTGTAAGAAGCAAATCTTGTCATACCTGCACAAATAGCAGCTGCTAACAGGGTCCAAACACTCAGCATCTGTTTGAGAAATGATCTATTAATATTGCAGATAGATTCTGAACACATTACAGTTTTAGAAACATTTTCTTAAACTGGTCAGCTGGCATATGACCATTAACCAGAATTTTGGGCCTACGGTATCATATTTGATGCAGGCCTCTAAATTATCAACATGATCGAAACTTTGCTGAAAAACCTGTTGTACACAATCTTCTGCTCAACAATTTTTAGGAAATAAAAAGATTTATAGTATTCACATAATTCGCATAATTCTCATATTTGGGTGAACTATCCCTTTAAGTATGGCACAATATACAGTATACTGTTTATATGTTAATTAAATAGCATGAACAGAGTACAAAAGGGTCCGTGTACTTTTTAATCATTTAATTTCCTGTTTGGAATGGAATAACGGGAAATGAAAACCAGCTCATTTGTTAATTTTTTTGTTTAGTTTAAAAAACAAAAAATTTGGTTTTGGCTTGATTTTTAATTTTTCGTTTGTGGTTACAAATCGGTTCATGGGTTCGATATTTCATTTGTACTCGTGGGCGGTGCTGAAACGCCCTTTTCATCTGATTGGTCAAACCGCTCCGCCTTCAGTACCAACTTTTCTTTCTGTCAGGCAGAATAAGAGTCACGAGTGCGGCACTGACAAATGCATTTTAATAAAATAATGTCTGAAACCACCGCTCACTGTTAACTACGCACAATATTTGAAGCAGAAATATGTTGCTGGTCACGTCATTCGTGCTGCTGCGACTTGCAAGTGACCCCATTAATGTGAGACAGATTTTTTCTGTATTTGACAGATTTTTTTAGCATGATGTATTTCCCATTGATAAATACAGTGCAACTAGTTATGTCTCTTTGGATAAAAGGAAAGTGGAAATAAAAATCAATAATAGGTTGAATTGTACCATGATAATGTCCATGACATACCCTACCCATAACTGTTAGCTAAATTAGAGTTAGGGATAACACAGTTTGTATACAGTATAAAAATCATTATGTCTAAAGTTCACATAAAACATGAAAACCCAACAACCCAATGAGAGTATATCCTTGTTGTGTAAAACATCTGTTCATAATCTGTGATCACACAATTCCAATACGAATAGCACCGGGAGGCATCTGGAATAACAGTTATTCAATATGGAGAATACATTTCCTTTTCTGTTGGCCTCGAGATTTCACGTAGTGAAACTGCGCAGAGCTTCTAGGTTGTACATCACACGCATCACACACATAACCAGCGTCGGCCAATAGTAAGGCTGTTACATTATGTGAAATCTCGAGGCCAACAGAGAAGGAAATGAATAGTTGAATAAAGTCGTTATTTTTGTTTGTTTGTTTTTGCGTACAAAAAGTATTCTGGTCGCTTGATAGACTTAAGATTGAGCCACTGTAGTCACTCTGACTATTTTAACAATGTCTGTCTTTAACTATTCTGGGCCGGCCAGTTTCAATCCCTTAAGAAGCCTATGGAGATTTTGAAGCCTTCAATCCCTTAATCTCAATCCCAATTCACCCCTTGGCCCTACCCCTTGTTTTCGAGTGTACCCCTTAGCCCTTAACAGAGTTACAAGGGCCAAGGGGTTGAAATATTCCCCAACAAAATGAAACAACCCTTTCTGAACCCGATACCGATATGTCATCAGTCATTGGCGATGGCTCTGCCGTTACAGAGTTTTTTTTTAGGATTTCTATATGACAATGACTGACAATCAGCACAGCAGCTCTTAACTTTGAGGAAACAGTTAAGATGACTCTGTACATATTTTTGTCATATTTTGTACAGATATGTTTGCAATTTTATAACAGAATTATATGCTATGATTGTCATCTTTGTTTGTTTGTAAGCATAAAAAAAATAATAAAAAAAACTGAGGAAACATGATGATTATAATATTCCTTATTCAAAATGTATGTCTTTTCTGATTCGGAAAGGTAATTTATTATACAATTTCTTAAATTAAATTAACTACTATAGTATTATTATAAGAATAAATAAAGTGCATGGTGGTGTCATCTGGCGCTAAATTTAAATGTTTAACCATTTGTCAAGCCATCTCGCCGGTGATTTGCGATGCATTCTGTGAACTTTCTCGTAGCCCTTCATTTAGAGTGTGCCTCTGAAAAATCTCACTTTTGAGGGCTATGTAGCCTTACCCCTTCACCCTACCCCTCAAAGGGGGGAGGGGGGGGGGGGGTTGACGAACCATAGACAGTAAAAGAAATAGACAGAGCAACCCCATTGATTTCAACAGAGAAGACTTGAAGCCCGATTTTTGCACTTCCCGTCTGATGTCTTAGCGAATGCACAGGCTCAGATTGAGCGTAATGACAGTCTGACAGTAAATCTTCTAGTAGCTGTGCCAAGCCAAAACGATGTTGATATATTTTCCCCCGTTGCTTTTATGGACTCTCTATCTATGGGCTTCTCCCAGACAGTAAAAGTCTTCTTCCTTGACTTTATGCCTCCATGTTCCCCCGATTGCCTCATAGACAGTACAAGATTGCCTGTGAGCTTCTCCTGTCTATACAGTAATGTCTCTATTGTGCGACAGAAAGTTGCCTAGTGCTGACGCAATCGTTAGCCTATTTTTTACAAAAACGGCATATACTGGCCCATAACGTAAGATACAAAGTAATGGAGCATTTTATACATAGTCGTGTTTCCTAAGAAATAAATAATGGTCAAATGAAGTCTTTGGACGCCTCAGATGTAAAGTTATTCACTGTCAAAGTGACGCCAAAATGAATGGGAGTCAATGGGATGCTAACAGCAGGTGAAGTTCTGCTACAATGGCGGCTCCCTCGAGGCTTCAATTTCTGGGTGATGGATTACCCCCTTGGGGTGAACTAACCCTTTAATAGACTGCCGAAGTTATGATGTCACTTTGTAGGACAACTCAGAAGTTAGCAGAGCATGGGTTCCCGCGATGGATCGAAAAGCTAAGCATTTTCCCCATTGACTTTTGGAAAATCGCAAAAACACAATTTAAAAAAAAAAACACAAGCAGGTTATTGGTGGACTATTTAGAAGCTTTGTCAACCATAGCATTTTAGGCGATTTAGAAACTCATAGACAGGGCGAGGGAACCAGAAGTGCTAAAAAGCTAACTCCCTGTTTCAAATATTGTGCATGTTTAGTGCACTGTTTATTCTGTCTTGTATGTGCTATATGCACGCATAAGTTGCGCATTTGACGCAAAGATGCTCGTCAGTTTCCGGTTGGGGAGATTAAAGTGGAGGAAACCCGGCAAAAATGGGATTATTGCAGAGTCTTTAATATTTACTCACTGTCCTCCCGTCTTTGAAACAAAACTTGCATACGTTTAGATGTAATTTTATATATAGTTATGTTTATAAAATATAATTTAAAAAAAAGCATAAACACAACGAGGGGTGTCTGTTTTTATCTGTTTTTGTGACACGTTTCTTTAGTATAACCATGGATATAGTATGGTTATACTGGATATAACCAGTATATAACCATAGAACCATAGTATAAAATTCAATGTATATTCTCGGTATTGCATTAGAGTTATCCAGCATCCTTAAACCTTCACCGGAAATACCGCCGTGCATAGAGCCCATTGGCAACCGCACTACAGCTATCAGAAACATTTTCCTGCAGTGCACTGATGTACATCGATTGGGACACGCCCATAAATGGCAGCTAAGGATCTGCATCTCACGCTTGATTAATTAGACCATCCTCAATTTCACGCTACTAGCGAATGCATGAACTACTTAGATTTCTTTATGTCGAGTAATCCAATCAATGAATTGAACATTATGGTGACGTCTTATGTCACTTCGGCGCCGATTTTGATTTAATTGGAAACCATGTAACAGTTATGCTTCGATTCAAACATCAACCACAAGCAGTGGGGAATTCTGAAGTCTACAAGCCAATGTTTGAGAAACTAACGTCATTTTAGGCGCCTGTTTAAAACACGCGCGCGCGCGCGCAACAACAACAACAATAACGACTTTGTAGGCTATAAAAGAAGCATTCGCCTTTCTTGCGTTCAATTAACGTTATTTCCAAAATTTTAACGATGCTAGGCGATACAGAGAACGTGTGGGTTATACTTACAATTTCATCAATATGATGGATGTTTCCGTTTTAAGTGTAGGATTTAGCTCTGTGCCAGGACTGTAAATTTTCTTGTCGGTAGGTGTGTCCTGTGGTTGTCTGTGGTGGTAGTAGGCTAGAGTTTAACTCAGCCCCTCTGTTCTCGTGCATTCAAACCGCTCCGGGCACATTCCTGTTCTTTTGTCAAGATGTGGACGAATTAGGAGGATTGATGTGTGCGTGTGTGAGCGTATTTTTTTTTTAATGAGTAGCCTAACTGAAAGAAATGTATGCTATGGCAAGTGTGCTCATGCCTGCTTTTGATAAATACTGGCTTTAACGTAGGAGTGCCGATCCTTTTCATTCCTTAAATGTGATATTTATGACATTTTTCCCTTTCCTTCCTTATGTGTTTAGGCTAAACTATTCGATTTCTTATCGAAACTGAATGAACTTTTATTATTATTATTATTTTTTTTTTTACTTTATCACAAAGGCCTATAATCTACCCTTTTACATTTAACACAACAAGATATCATTTTTAAATAAATGCAAGGGCACGCCCCAATTTATTCATTTTATTCTTCAAACCAAATATATGCTCCTACATATGAAGAGGAAATGCGGACCATCTATATTAGTGCTCCAGCTGTTCCAATATTTTCCTCAGACGACGAGCTAATTCAGGCTGGCAAGACTGCATAAACAAACGCAACATGATACGTTGCAGGACGTGGCTAGTGGACCCCTCCCTTCCCAGCATGCATCAGTCTTAGCTCAGTGCAATCAAAGCCCGTCTACTCTGGTGCAATGCTGCAATGCTTATGCTCAACCAGTGTAGGCTATTTATAATGTCTATGCTTGAACTATTCTTAACAGAAGTAATCTTTTTTCTACGGTGAATGAATGGAAACTTCTTAATGGATGAACTTCTTAACATATGATGTATTCATCAAGAAATACAATTTGATGTGCTCTGACCTCTGAGGGGCAATTTAAAACTGTAATTCAGGCAATCCCACAAGCTCTGATCACTTTAGTAAAAGGCATGTTAACATACTCTGTGGTTATTGAAAGCCCACTTTAATCATAGATGCATATCATTTCTAGATAAAAATAAATGTAATAATATTTTTTTTAGAAATGTTCTTCTCACTTTGATCTGCTTGCCTTCACCATTCAATCTTCGAGAAATTCACCAGCATTTGTTTAGGGAAGATACCAGTCTACCAGAGCCTTAGCAAGGGAAGGGAAGATACCAGATACCAGGAAGATACAGGGACCAGTTACCTTTCTTTTCCTATTTCACCAAAGGTAAAAGAAGTTCACTTCAAAGTGATGAATGAGATTTATCCATGTAACAACTTCTTGCATCAAAGATTTAATATGAATGTGAATGTTTGTACTTTCTGTAATTCTGACATTGAAACTGCAGAACATCTCTTCTTCTCTTTGTAGTGTAACCCAACCTTCTGGGATGCTTTCCAGTACTGGATCACGTATGATACACAAAATATTCCAATTTTAACATATGAACACATTAAATTTGGACTTCAAATGGAGAACAGAACAACTGAGTTTGGAGTGAATAATCTGATTTTAATGGCCAAATATTTCATATACAAATGTCGATTTCTTAAAACATCCCCTATTTTTAAGGCCTTTCTAAATTATATAATTCTGTATAAACAATCCCTGAAATGTTGCAAAACAAAAAATAATTTTTCATGAATACTTATGCCCGTCTACAGCTGAGTCTCTTGGTTTCTTTCTTTTTTATTTATTTATTTTGTTTTATTATTATTATTATTATTATTATGTTTTCTATTTTTAACTTAATTTTTTTTTTACAATGTTGTACTCCATGTTCAATTCATGTTGTAAGATTGACTGAATATGATTGTGATGTGCCTTGTTGTATGTTTGATAAAATTACAAAATTACACATCAGACTAACAATAAATAAATAAAAATCAACTGATCCTTTTGATTGCAAAAGTTCTTTATTATCATTTTAAGGAAGAATTATTTTTGTTTTTATTTTAAGTTTTTTTTTTTTTTTGTTGATGCAGAGAAAATCATTTTATTCAGAATATTTTATAGGATGATACTCATATAAAACTGCTCCATCTCCTGGTCTATATTCAGCATGTCAAGTCGTTTGAAGGCGCAGATGTTTTTCTTGACACTACAAGAGTCGTCGTTCCACTTGCCAACCTCTGAAAATGTGAGGGAAAGTGAAATGTAGCCTACCTTCATCATTGTGTCTACCAAACATCCTATTGTCCTCACAGCAACAATATCACTATAATAAATAATTTAGCCAAACATCAAGTTTAAATTTAATGTGATTATAACTCACTAGTTGTTTTAGTTTCTCTCCTTACCTTTCCAGAACATCTCCAAGCATTCCTCCGTTTTTTTGTACATGTGGTTGGGTTCACCACGTGTCCAAATTTGGTAATTCCTATAGGAACCATCAAGCCAAAAAAATTTGCCGAGAAAGTGAGAAAATAAAGAAAGGTAGTCAGAGGTTGTTTCTTTGTGTAGTGGCCGAGCCAGAAGCGCAGGTTTTTTGGGTTTAATTTTTTCACAAGGCAGAACAAGTAATCATTTTCCTTTTTTTTATGCACTGACACCAGATGTGCACCAGGGGCTTTGGACCTACACCTGAACTGAACAAGAACATTTAATGACCATATACATGTTTGTTTTAAATGGTGGAGGAACGGTAATAATGTTAGAAACGAAATATCTTCAGTGTTAAACAATGCAACAATCTATTTAAAAAAAAAAATACTACAACCTACCTCGGCATCAGTGAAGTTAGCACGGCTATAGAAGTATTTGACACAGTGTTTGCCCACTTTGAACCAATCAGTGAAGCCATAAACATCACAGGCTTCAGGCATACTGCACCACGAAGTAACATTAGTACGGTCAACTTCAAGACCTAAATGACAGAGTCACACACATTACTATTTTAAGCTCTATGGCACTTTAAAAGTACAAGTATGTAGATATTTTGCCTTGTCTGTATGAAGTGTAACTTGTAATATATAAGTCTGTTAATATATCTGTTAATATATGCTGTCAATGTTTACTCAAAACAGGTCACATGTTTTGTGTTAATAACATCTACCTTACAGTTTATTGTTATTGGGGTACATTAAGGAATGGGGCTTACATTCGAGAAGAAAAAGATTCAATGGGGTTGATTTCTATATAGAACCTTAAAGTGTAGAATTTTGGAAATATATTGTCGAATTAAACATTACCTCTCTCCATTGTTAAGAAGCTGCCACTCTCAAAGAGAAGAGCCATCAACAGAACAAATCTTAGGGATCCTGATTTCCCCTGCGAAAAAAAAGCTCATATAAATAACATAAAAAAATTGATACAAAAAATTGTTCACTCAAGAAAATTACTTACCATTGCAGTTCTTGAACTTCTGTCTTCTATCTGTCCTTAGAGAAACTGTTTCACCTGATTTTATTCATTCCATTAATTTTCACAACTCCTCCCCTTCTCTCAATCTTATCATCTTCACTTGTTTTATTCTTCATCACACAGGAAAGCGTTTCACACCTCTATACTGTATATAGCCTGCTACTAATCAATTTACAGGTCCATTGCTACTAAAGTACCATTAGTACAATCTTATTGTTAATCTTGAACAATAATAGAATGTAGGCTAAAATACTCATTAATTTGAAATTATAGCACAATCAAGAGATGCAGAAGTCTGTCAAATAGGGCACAATACTGTGTTAATGAAAGAATTTCCATAATAATTTTCACAGGTTTTTTGTACCTGTATTTTGAATTATGCATTGTGTTATGTTTTAGGATTAAATGAAATGTCCGTAAACGGATAATAACCAGTACCTTTTACTCTTTTTTTTTTACTGATTTTTTTCTTACAGTGTGCATCAACATATAAATTCCAATTTCAGTGGATAACCATAATCCAATGAATAAGAAGATATATTGCCCCAATTTACTAAACATGACTTTTTACTTGCTAAGGCTCTGCACTCTTTTTATTGCAATCTGGATTGTGATGCACTTTGGCTAATGATTTTTGCATTAATGGTACAAAAAAAAAAACAGTTATTTTTATTATGCTAATTTCCATGACCCATCTCCTATTTCATTTCTAACCCATGTCGGCATTGTGGTTGCTCACTAAGTGAAAACTATTTTTGTAGACAGTACATTGAAGAGAGGCGTCTGGTAAATGACAAGCATCTGAAAGGCTAATAGTTTTAGTTTACTAGCACACTAGACAATAAAAACGTGAGATCTTGTGATTACAGACAGAGTTGTGATCTCCAGGGCTCTCAAGTTTTGAAGACAGACTATTGTGACATTTGCCACAAAAGGGTGCTGTCATAATAATATTATTAGTATCAAATAACATCATCTATGCAATACACTTTCATTTATTTAGTGCTACTAAATTAAGCCTATTTGGAGAGAGAGATGTTTATAATGTGATGTGATAATATGTTAGTCATCGTGTGATAAGGAAATATGACTACTTGTTCTGAGGAGTAGTTGTCAGTGAACAGGCTGTAAAACTGCTGGCTAAGTTACAGACACTCATGAAAAACTGGTACTAATTATATGGGAATCATTCTCTAACAGCAGTCAAGTTGTCATTGTTTGTGTCGAACTAATTGTGAATTTGTTGTAACATTAAAACAGGAGATCATGACTTACTCTGTGCTCAAAGTGACGCTCGAAGCTCCAGTGTTTTCCTCTGGGTAAACAAAACTTTAGAAAGATGATGTAGAATCACGCAGAAATAGGTACAAGGATATGTTTTTTTTTTCATTGGTTGTTGCGTTGTTGCATCTTGACCAGCTGCATCTCAGTGTGGTGTGGAGGCTGCAGTGCCTCTGACTGGAAGGATGTTGGAAGGGTGGTGAGAACAGCAGAGAGAATCATTGGAGTCTCTCTCCCCTCCATTCAGGACATTGCAGAGAACCGCTGTGTAGCTCGGGCCAGGAAAATCTGCAGGGACCCCTCTCATCCCCTGTACGGTCTGTTTAGTTTACTGGCCTCTGGAAGGAGGTTCCGCAGTATGCGGTGTCGGACCTCCAGGTTTTATAACAGCTTTGTCCCCCAAGCCATCAGACTGTTGAACACTGATAAATAACTTAGTCCTGTTGGTCTTACACTTTGACTG